ACCCCGTGCCCCGGCATCTTCCACGCCTAGGCTCTCTGTTTTTCGGTTCCCCACCCCCCTACGTGCCCCGGTATCTTCCACGCCCGCACTCTCTGTTCTTAGGACCCCCCACTCGACAAATCCTGGCTTGGAACCGACCCTGTCCCCGCACCGTGCCCTGGCATCTTCCACGCCCAAAGTCTCTGCTTTCGGCACCCCACTCGACACTTCCTGGCCTGGAACCAACCCTGACCTCCCAGTGTCCGGGCACCATCCGCGCCCAGACTCTCTGTTTTTGGATCCCCCGCACCCGACAATTCCTGGCCTGGGCCCGACCTTGACCCCCCAGCCCTGGCATCTTCCACGCCCAGACCGCTTGTTTTGGGACCCCCCGCCCAACAATTCCTGGCCCAGAACCGGCCCAGACTCTCTGTTTTCGGACCCCACTCGGCATTTCCTGGCACGGAAACGACCCCGACCACCCACCGTGTCCCGGCATCTTCCACGCTGACACCCACCGTGTCCCGGCATCTTCCACGCCCAAGCTCTGTGTTCGACCCCCACCTGACAATTCCTGGCCCGGAACCGACCCTGACACCCCACCGTGTCCCAGCATCTTCAACGCCCTGCCCCGGAACCCACCCGCTCTCTGTTGTTGTAGAACCCCCCACCCTGGCCCGGAAACGACCCTGACCCCCCACCGTGCCCCGGCATCTTCCACGCCCAGACTTTCTTTTTCTGGGATCCCCCACCCGCCAATTCCTGGCACGCAACCGACCCTGACCCCCCCACCGTGCCCCGACATCTGCCACGCCCAGACTCTCTGTTTGTAGCACCCCCCGCCCGACAATTCCTGGCCCAGAACCGACCCTGACATCCCACCGTGCCCGGCATCTTCCACGCCGAGACTCCCTGTTTTTGGGACCTCTTACCTGGCAATTCCTGTCCTGGAACCGACCCTGACCCCCACCGTGCTCTGGCATGGCATCTTCCACGCCCAGACTCTCTGTTTTCGGGACCCCTCCATCCGACAATTCCTGCCCGCGAAACCGTCCCTGACCCCCCACCGTGCCCCGGCATCTTCCACGCCCAGACTCTCTGTTTTTGGGACCCCCCCCACTCGACAACTCCTTATCCGGAACCTACACTGACCCCCCACCGTGTCCCGGCCACCTCCTCGCTGAGACTCTCTGTTTTTGGGGCCCCCCACATGACATTTCCTGGCCCGGAACCGGGACTCATGCCCCCCACCGTGCCCTGGCATCTTCCACGCCCGGACTCTCTGTTCTTGGACCCCCCCACCCGATAGTTCCTGGCAACTGCGACCTCGCACCCCTTGTGACATCTCCAGGCGTGTGAGATCTGTCCCCGCATATAATGCTCCCCAGGGGACCCCAGACCATGAATTCGAGAAGAGGGGGGGAAGGCAGGCCCAGCGCCACCGCGTCATGGGAGAGTTGCGAACCCCAGAACAAGCCAAGCGACCCACTAAGACTCCCCAAGACGCTCCGAATGGGCCCCAAGCCGCCAGAAAATGACCCCAAGTTGCTCGGGATGTCCCCAACATGGCCTCTCAAGCTCCAAGCAAGCCCAAGAGGTCCCAAGAAGCCTCCAAGAGATCCTGACGAGCGCCCCGAGAAGCCAAAATCGTCGGATTCCTCAATGTAAAACCGCACATGTTTCAAATATGCGACTTTTCGGTTCCCACAGCGCTCATACGGTCCTGAAGGCCCCCCAGACCGCCCCAAGACAGCCCAGAGACACTCGGAAAGCCCTGGAGACGACCCAAGAGAGCTCCACGACAGCCCAAGAGGCGCCCCCGACGGTCCAAGAAACTCCTAAGACATCCTCAAGAGTGGCCCCAAAGCGGAGCCCAAACCTCAACAGTCGAGAAGGAGCCCTCAAGAGGCCACACAAAGCCCCAAGGAGCCCACAGGACGCATCGAGAGACCCTAAGAACTCCCCCACTCAGTCTGCTCCAAGGAGCCACCGAAAAGCCCCAGCCCAAAAACAATCTACAAAAGAACACGAGAGGCCCCCTGGAAGCCCCAACAACCCCGAAAGAGCCGCGAAAATCGACAGCACACGCTCCAAGAGACTCCAAAACGACTGCGGGCATGCGCAGATGCGTTGACACAACCCAGACAAACCGCGTTGCTGTGGTTCCTGAACGACATCGGTCTGTGCGCCTACGGACATGAGATAGCAGATCCAAGCCGAGTGCATACCCCTGTGGTCCATAAAAGCCACCGAGATGCACTGAACCAAAGACTTCTCTGGGGTCGGCGGCAGAGGCGGCAGCCTTTAAATATACAGATATGTGTCGATGCTTGGGCCAAACAGCGGCGAACTCCGGTTTGAGTGAAGACAGGGAGGAGGAGGAGGAAAGGAAAGGAAAGGAAAGGAAAGGAAAGGAAAGGAAAGGAAAGGAAAGGAAAGGAAAGGAAAGGAAAGAAAAGGAAGATGAGTTTCGAATGCACCGCCTCATCTGCGATTCGCGGATATGGCATGGCCCGATGACTTCGAATAGAAGCTTCACGCCGATGTCATCTGGTTTCGGTCGGTCTGACATGCGCTGCGTAACAGAAGAAGCTGCTCTTTCAGTACAGACCCAGCACCGCCTGAACTGCGGCATCGCTCCACTGGTCCTGGCACCAAGCTCGGAAGACTGACTCCACCCTCCACTGTGCCTGTCCCTCTCAGCATGTCACGCAACATTGGGGGCAAGCACAGCGGGGTGGGTGGAGGGGGAACGGCCTTCTAACAACACATCTTCGTAGCAGAGCGCAGAGGCTTCTAAGAAGGCTTATTAGAAAGCGGAGCGGCTCCTAGACTTCTTGCAGGGCCCTCCCCCTCGTACCAACCCTCTGTTCGTGCCGCCAGAACTTCTCGAGGTCTGCGCCACTCTGCGTATGGCCCTGCTGGGTCGAGCCTCCATCCCTCCATCCCTTTCGACCGACTGCGGCTGATTTGACACGACACCCTCCTACCCTCGCACGTGCAAGCGGACACGGTGCAAGCCAGGATGATTCACTTGGCCCATCAACTGCTGCTTGCGCTTGCGCTTGATGTTGTTTTTTTCCGTGCCTCTTGCGCTTGATGTTGTGTACAGGCGGACCACTGGCGAGCCCTCATCCCCCCCTCTCATTTGCACATCTCTCTCCCCCCCTCCTCCCCCTCCCTTCTCGTCCCTCCCCCTCCCTTCTCGTCCCTCCCCTCCTCCTCTTCTTCCTCATCCGTCCTGTCCCCCCTCCTGCAAAAGAGGAGGGGGAGGCAGGAGGGCGACGACTAGAAGACAGTATCGACGAAACCGTGCTCTGCACCCAGTATCTGTAGGGCTAGAAGGGGCAACAAAATCAAAAGCCAGCAGCGTGGACTGGAGAATACCCGCTGCGGTGTCCTGGCGAAGGACCACCAGCCATGCCTGAAGGCGGCCTATACCAGCAAATATAAACAGCGTGGATGGTGGAAACGCTCGCAGTGTCAGAGAAAATGGTGAGGATGACGGGGGTAGCGCCAATCATGAGAATGCCAACGGGCAGCTCAAAATGTGTGTTCCTGGTTGCGGCTGCGGGTGCGGATGCGGGCGCGGTTGCCGTCGGGCGGCCCCCACATGTGTCCCCGGTTGCGGCTGTGGGTGTAGATGCGGGTGCGGTTACAATCGCCCGTAGGCGGCCCAACATGTGCGTTGCTGCACTTGTGGTTGCGTGTGCAGGCGCCCGCGTACGGCCCAAACCGTATTCCTCAAGATGCCCCGGCACATCAATCATTCAGCCAACCAAATAGTCAGCCGGCCTACACGAAAGTAACCTCAGCTCCGCATGGAAAGACCAAACACCCTCGACCTTCGACCCTCGATCTTGCTCCTCCTCCTCCTCCTGCTGCTGCTCCTCCTCCTCCTGGTCCTGCTCCTGCTCCTCCTCCTGCTCCTCCTCCTCCTCCACCTCCTCCTCCACCTCCTCCTCCTCTTGGCATGCAAAAGAACGGTCCTGGTGGAAACGAGTCCTGCACGCCAGGGCTTCCCCCGGGACTGGCCTTTCATCATTGACAGTTTGCAGCGTGTTCTTTTAGTCTAGAGTCTAGAGTATGGCAAATCTACTTGCATGGCATGGTGCTCTTCCACCCCCCCTCCCCATCCCCTTCCGCCGCCTTTTCAGGCAGCGCTGGGCCGACAAGGCGTGCAAGTGAGTCCCGACATGCGTGAAGTCCATACTCAGATTTCTGTTCGGGCCTCGCCACGTCCCCCCTCCTCCCATCCAAGCAGGCTTGCCAGAGTCTGGAGATAAAGGCCTCTTTCTGGGCGGTCCTGGGTCCCAGGACGGGCCCTGGCAGCCCGAAAACGGTGAAGGCCTGCGGGGCCGACTTCCTCCAGGATCCTCTTGTCTTCAGTTTGCTCGATATTCGATCCTGGATGCTCCCCTGCGCCCTGAGCGTGGATCTCGCCTTCTGGCGAAACCGCGGGCGAGCCCTCCTCCCCCACATTCCTCCTGCGCCTCGTCCCCCTCTCTCATCCTTCCTCCTCCTGCCGCACTCCTCCGCCGTTTGCTCTTCCTCCTCCATTCCTCCATCTGTTCCTCCTCCTCCCTCCTCCACCTCCTCCCTCCTCCTCCTCCGCCCTTTTCCCCACTCCCTGGAGGGGCAGGGGACGACGACGACCACCACCACCACCGCCACGACCGACGGCGACAGCGCTGGCGGCGGCGGCCACGACTTTGTCGCCAGTCGTGGTCGGTCGTCGGTCGCCCGCGCTGCCCTGAGACGATCAACGCAACCTAGAGCGTGTCGACATGGAACTCGACACGTAGACTTCGAACGTAAATCTGGCGCGATACATCCGTGGGCCAACTCGCTATACACCGACACGCAACAGGTCTGACCCAGACGTTTCGACACACGGTACGTGCTGCGCTTCAGAACGGGCGTTTCAGGGCATCTAAGCGCCTGATACGTGCTAAACGTCCAACAGCTTCATCGAAGCCCGTCCGCGCTCGCCCGCGTGCGCGCGGCCAGCCGCGGCGCGCGGTCCTCCAGCGAGCCGTCGGGCAGCGGGCAGCCCCAGAGGTCGAGCAGGCCCGCTTGTCCCCGCCCGCGGCGGGGCGCGTTGGGCGAGCGGGGGTCTACTCCACCCTCCGTTCTGACGCTGCCACGACCTGGGCCTCAACGTTGCGTATTATGTACGCGACCCTCCTCCATGAAGCAGAACGCCCACTGCTGCCCAACGGCAGCAGTCCCAACATCCAGATGACCGTCTCGCCTCACTCCCCCCTCCTCCTGCTCCCCCTCCAGGGGGACGCGAACCACAAACCCAAATGCACCGACCCTGGCCTGGCCGATCCTGGCGGCGCAGACGCCTTTCTGGCCCATGCAGGAGGGCGTATACACCGGTCTCAGGCCCAGGACGGGCCTGCCCTGGCCAGGCTCGGAATACGTTGGTGAATCATTGGCGTACCCCGATTGTTTCACGCCGTGCGCGCAGCCCGCCCGACCACAACGGCCAGAAGCTGGCGCACTCCCACACCGCCTCATAAACGAAGCGGGCCCCCAAAAGCGACACGCCGAGCCGCGGCCGCTCCCAGGAGGGGGTGCGCCGGCCAGGGCTGGCGGGAACTCCTCCTCCTCCTCCTTCTCCTTTTCCCTCTCCTGCTCCTCCTCCTCCTCCTACTTCTCCTGCTCTTCCTCCTGCTCCTCCTCCTCCTCCTCCTCCACCTGCTCCTGCTTCCGTGCCAGCCTCAGCGCCCATTGGAGCGCGGCTGCGCCAACAGCGTCTTATCCTCCTCCTCCTCCTCCTCCTCCTCTTCCTCCTCCTCCTCCTCCTCCTCCTCCTCATAATCGTCATTATTATCCATCCCTTTCCTTAAGCACTGGCCCTTGTAAATCACTCTTGTCGCCCCCCACCAGACGTGTCGGTAAAGCGTCCTGGGCGTTTTGCTTGAGACTGAACTTCGGAATTCACAACAATCTTACGGATGGAGGGCGGGCCGTTTTCAACATGTGGCTCTCGTCTTAGTTAGTGCCGCGAACACTCGCTTTTGACATTTTGCACTAGTGTCACCGGTGGAGGCCGGGGCGTTCTCAAAGTGTGGCTCTCGCCTTACCGCCGAGCGCATTCATCTTCATCATGGATCGAGAGCGGCAGATGTTCAAAATGCAGTTCTCGCGTCGCCGCCGTGCACATTCGTTGTGAAGTGTGCGACAGCTTCAAGGATGGAAGAGGGCTCGTTTTCAACATGTTGTTCTCATTTTAGCACCGCGCACATGTATCCAAAACGTTCGAAGTGAGGTTAAGAATTCGTATGGCTGGAGTCCCAGGAACGGCGTTCAGGCACGATTCAGGATTGTCAGGATGCAACAGTCACGTTGATTCGCTGTGGTGAAATCCCAGCAATGGTGTTCTGTCACGATTCAGAGTTGTCAGGACGCAATAATTATGTTGACCCGCGGTGCTGAAGCCCCAGGAATGGCGCTTGCACGCGATTGAGGAGTCTCAAGTTTCCAACGGGGCACTTCCCACAATGAAAACAACTTCGTGCAGGCACCAATAACCTGGGAACTTGGAGGGAAGATTTATGGAGGAAGGGTTTATTGCAACATCGTTACGGCGTCTTGGGTTTGCACTGGTCCTCCTCCTCCTCCTCCTCCTCCTCCAGGGTTGCTAGGTTCTGCCCCCGACCGTCGAGGATCGAGGACGGAAGTCCCCTGGACGACTTCGGATGGTTTTCGCCGTTTTTTTCCCCGCAACGACCACGGGTTCATGACAGCGTTCGGCGGTGGAACAGCCCTGGTGCGACAAAAGTGTTGCAAAATACACTACAAACGCGCACGAGTGCCATGTTCAAATTTCGTGTGAAACGGCCCAACATTGAGCACAACGGCTCGGGTCCGAAACGCTGTGTTTTCACGAGTGCGACGCATTCCCCCAGCTACGCGCCAGCAACACTCTGTCATGATGCCTCGCCGTCGCAAGCACACATCGTGCCTGGTAGGCGCTGTCTGGCCCGAGGAGGGGGAGAGAGGCGCGAGGAGAGAGGAGGGAGGCGCGCAGGGGAGGGCGAGGACGAGGAAGAGGACAGCGCTACCTCAGGGACCAGCCTCCAATCGAAGATAGGCCGGGTCGCTCGAAATTGGCCTGCTGTCTGTCGAAGGCGCTGGCCAGCACGAGCCTACTTATACGAATTCCAACTTTAAACGTATCTGTCAGATCGGACAAATGCTGTGTGCAAAGCTTGCAGGGTCCAATGGTCCATCCAAAAATCTGAAACGTAGACTGGTCATGCCCCAGCACTCGGAAGTCCCCCGCGCGTGCAGCTCCAGTCGGAGCGAATCAAATACACCATCACGCTATCAGAAGGTGGAGAAGCAGCGGCGGCGGCAGCGGCAGGGAGGGAGAGAGGGAGGACGACGGGATAAACTGGCGACCTACGTACAGAACCACACTAACAGTGGACTGCTCTTGCTGCATCCTCCGTTCAGGAGGTTGTCCAAACCTGGAGTTCCCAGCATTCGGGGACGAACGAGGAAGGGACAGGCAGAGGAGGCGGAAAGCAGGCCCACCACGGCAGGGTAAGCCAGCGCTCCGCTCCCGGGAGGCAAGGGCGGGAGGAAAAAGACAAGGGAAAAGGGCAGCACCAATCGGCTGCGCAGCACCGCGCGCCCCCCAGTCCATCGGCCACGCGGCCGGGACAAGAGACACGCTAAGCAAGCGCGAGCGACAACATTCGGTATCGCACAAAACGGCTGCAACAAAGTATGGCCCTGTTTCTCCGCCAGGCCAAGAGCCTATCGCGCCACGGTTGAATCGGAGGGGGAGGAAGGGAGGCGAGGGAGGAGGAGGACGAGGGCAGAAGCCCGCAGACTTAGCTACAGTGACCGCTGGCGGCGTGGCTGCTGAGCGCGCGCGCGTGCGCGCGCAGCGGCAGACGCGGCGGGGTGGCCGCGGACCAGCTCCAGAACGATCTGCCCGAGCGTCGCTGCGGCGGGTGTTCTGGGCCTTGCGGCGCGTCTCGCCCGACAGCGCGCCAAGTACACCGCCGCGGTGTGAATGACCGAACGCAGGACGAAGTCCGCGGGCAGGCTCGTTAGGGGGAGGAGAGGAGAAGGAAATCCAAGCGGGGCGCCGTGGAATGAGGGATCGCGAAGCTCCGCCACGCGAGCTCCCGGACCACCCGGCAACCTGCATAGCGTTCAATAGGATCCTCGCAAGCGCACCCACAAAGACAGCAAGAGCCGCGCTGCTGGAAGCGCCGGCCCGTGCACCATCCATTGAACCATGTGCGTAAGAGAGCGGCTCTGACCCGCGGCGGGGGGCGCACATGACCTGCCGCGCACGCGGGGCGCGCGGGGCCGGCGGCAAAAAATCTAGGCGCCAACGCTGCATCCGGCGCCGCATGAAGCGCTCCGCCTCCTCCACCGACGCCTCCTGCACGATGGTGAGGCACGTCCGTTGCCACAACTTGCGGCGCTTCTTGGCGCGGGCGTCGACATCCGGTGACGTCCAGAGCGCCGCAGCAAGCGGAACGCCCGCAAGCGTGGCCGAATTTCAGGCTACGGAAACAGGCTGCGCCACGCTGGTCCCGGGCAGGCTGTGCTGCCCGGCGGAAGGGGGCGAGGACGGGAGAAGCAGGCAGACGACGACGGACGTCCAGGCGGGAGGCCAAGGCCGGCGGGGCGGCGGGCGGGCAGGCACAAGAGGGGCCAGGCGGGGACAGCAGGCAGGGAGCAGGAGGAACGGAAAGGGAGGGAAGCAGGAGGAAGAGGAGGAGGAGGAGGAGGAGGAGGAGGAGGAGGAGGAGGAGGAGAAGAACAGGAGGGAAAGCAGCGACCGCAAGCAGACAGGCTGGGCCAGGGGCCAGGAGAGAAGAGCCACCCGCGACGAGGCCACGGACCCTACGGCGGCGACCTGGGCGAGGTGGCCGCCCGAGCCCAGCACGATGCGGCTTGGTGGGGATTGCCCTCTGCGGGATCCATCCACCGCCCCGCCGAGGAAGGGCCAGACGGCGCGGGCGCGGGCGTCGTCGTCGAGCTCCGTGTGGGCGGCCCCCTCAATGCGCTCCCGCACCCGGCGCGCAGTCCAGCCCAACTCCTCGAAGTGCGAGGTGGCGGCGTCCAAGTGCAAGATGGTGGCGCTCTTGGGCCAGCCGTCCCAGCCCGTCCGGCGGAGCTCTAAGTCGCAATCTGGCCCTTCGAAGCTCCCGGGCCCGGCGCGTCGTCTGCAGGCCACCCTCGTTCGTGGCTTCGTGCCGGGCCACGCGGAAGCGGGCCGCCAGCGAGAGCTTCGCAAGCTCGGGAACGTTGCCGGAAAAACACATCGAACTCGGATCCCGCAGAATGGACGGGGAGATCCGCCCGCTGAGGATGTAGATCCAGCCGAGGTTTCGCGGCGCATTGCGCTTGGCAATGAGGTGCGCCAGGGGCACGCTGGTCAGCTTAGGCTACGCTCTTGTGCCGAAGCTGGGCCACGGTTGGTGAGATGCGCATTGGTGCCAGTGCATCCTGCTGTGCTCCATTGCCGCCTGTATAAATTAAGCATGGGGCTTCCTCCCTGGAGGTCGTAGCACGGGTCCAATGGGATGCAGAACTCCGCGGTGTCGTCTTCCATGTCCCAATGTTCGCGGTCTCGTGGTTGTGTTCATCTGTGGTGGATGGCGTCCATGATGGCGCGGGCGAGTAGTCTCGGCGGCGCACGCCTTGGCGGTGGCGCTCTTCCACGAGCCGCCAGGGCTCACTCCAATTAATGGGGGGTGGTAGCCTATGTCGTGGTTGCATTTTCCGTGGTTGGGGAGTCGCGTTATCGCCCGTCGTGCGTCTGGCACTTGCACTGCGAGGCGCGCGGCAGGCTTCGCGGCTATCTGTCCAGCCATGCATTGGTCGAAGGTGATGACGGCCACCCCCGTCAATTCGAATCAGGTGTGTTAGCTCTGGCCGTAGCAAGCTGCTTGCTGCGCGCTCACCGCTGACTGTGGCGAGGTGTTCCATGATCATGGGGGCGCCCGTGTTGATGCATGTGTGCGAAGCGGATTGTGGTGCACAGTAGCTGGCTGCCGCTGTGTAATTGATCGAACTCACGCAGTGACAGATG